TGCTCTTAATAATAATTAATACATGTTTTTATTAAATCTCTTAATGTATTTGAAATATATTTGATAAATGTAATCTCTATATTTTTAGACAACATAAAATCACTGTGTTAAAAGATGAATACATAACTGTCAACACTGGGATGTGAAAATGAGGGATAATAGGGGCATAATTCCCAAATTACTACATATGTTCATCTGGAACTCTTTCTTTGTAAATAAACAGTTAAAGTCAGTAATTTGTTTTATCATTATTTCCAAAGGATAGAATAAATAGTATACTTTAGAAAAAGCTGCAAATAAATTAGTAAACAGTTTAGCCTATTAGAAATAATAGCTATTTTATAGAAATAGAATCAAGGTATCAAATCTCATTAACCTTTTCTTCACTGTATAATTTAAACATTCTGATTAAAAAAGCAATTAATGAATCTCTCATTTAGATTTTTGGTTTGATTGCATTAAATAACAGAGGTGTCACTTTGAAAATGTACACTTCTAACATTATAATGAAAGCATTCGATTGCTTTCCTAACTTTTCATGCTCAATTAGGACTAAGGGCCCTATCATACACCCGGCGCAAGGCGCAGCGCAACTGTTGTTTGCTAGTTTTAGCTTGGCGCAAGAGTCGTTTTGACGTTTTGCACAACACTGTTTAAATAGCAAATGCATTTGCGCTCATATGTGCACCCATAGGAGTTCTGGTCTAAAAAAGGAGGCGTGTTAAGGCGCATTGCTGGCGTGTTGCTATTTTGAGGAACTATTGATAGAACGCACAATAGACCAGATCAAAGCTTGCGTAAAGTCCAGGGTAGTGCGCGTTAGATGTGTGCCTCGCCTAAACTTTGCTTTATACACACAGGATGTACAGCAATAAGCAAATAACTTTACAAAAGAAAATTAAATAAAGCATTAAAATATTACAAAGAATATTATTTTCTAGCATACATAAATATAAAAACCAACGCCTCCATGCCTTCTTCATCTCGGGGGGCTTTTTAGTTTATTCATGACAACTTGCTTTTGTATATAGTTATTATTAGTCTTAGTATTATTTATTATATGTATATTTATATTTGTTTTATTAAAAACAAGCTTAGATTTGCCCATCTGTCAGGTTTTGGAACATATGGGGCACAGTATGTGTATTTGGATATAACTCAGTTTTTTGAGCACACTTCGTTATTATTGTTCATTTATTCGTTTGCTGTAAATTAGAACTTAATTTAGAAATAGTTTTGAAAACAAATCCTTGCACTTAACAAATGAAATTAATTATGTATAGGCTAATGGATGTCTGTGCGTACAACACGTTTCCTCATCCACAAGAGTGAAAGTGAAAGTAAAGAATGAGGAGGCTCATCTCTCTGTAAATAGCAAATGCGCTATAGCGTATACGCAACTGACTCTTAAAGGGAATGGGAGATGAGATTCTGATTGTTTTATTCTTAAAACACACCTATAACTCATTAAGAGAATAAGCTCAACCCTGTTAGACCATGCGCCACGGCGCAAAGTAGATTTTTATGTCCTTAAAATAGCAAAAGTGGATTCAGACACACCCTTAATGCTTTTTCGACTTAGCGCATGGATCGTCAAAATAGAGCCCTAAATTAGTTGTGTTTGAAAGAAAACCAACAAAACCAGTATCTTTAGATGTTGTTATTATTATTACGTGTATATGTCTGTTCAAACATGCACCCTATACCAAGAGTGTCCACCTTCGCTCCTGTTTAACTTGCATGTACAAAATCCATTTGGGAAACATCGTCTTTTTATCGCTATGGAATGTGTCAGCTGACAGTCTGCTACATGACTGTTTTGAGGATTGCATAGCAGGGGCAACAGCACCTGTAAGGGAAAGGAAGGGAATCCCTCTGTTTTTATATTTATTTCAAAGTATTTTCATGCCTAAATAAAACAAAAGCACAGAACAGATTTACATTTAAGAGCAAGAGGCGTCCCCTGTCGGTTTGGTCGTATGGGTTGGGTATAGGCTCGTCTCTTTAATGTTTATTTACCACCCTTCAGAGAAAGATTGAAAATATAGGAGAAATCCGGTAATGATAGCTGGATAGAACTGTAAAATACGGGACAATCGGGACAAATGGGAGGGTTGACGTATGTGAATATTTGATAAAATAACCGTGGTTTTACGTCACAACAAATAAAATATAATCATTCTTAGAATTCTGTTTTTCTAAATGTACTTTTCCCCCAAAATCTTTGAAAAAAAAATAAATCAGTGATTTTTCAAGTGACTTCCATATCTACGGTATATGAATGTGTGTACCTATAAATAAGCACAATCTTTGAAAACAAACATTTGTTATTAATTAATTTGTAGGACTACGTGAATTATGCATTTGTTGAGTATAGTTATTGAATATACTGATTTAATTTATTCAAAACTAGCTATTTTATTTTAGACTTCCAGTAGTTTCCAAACAGTCATTTTTTGTAGGTAATTACAATAATTATAGATTTTTGTAAGCACAAAATTATTTTCAAACTGTTGGCCTGTACTGAAAGCACTTGACCTGGCAGAAAACTGACCGTTAAAAAAGACCTTGTGTTATGAATTGCATAAAACAAAAAAGCAAAAAAGATTTTCACATTTTATGAAGAAAATGTAAGTAGTGCTTGTCAAAAAAATACAACAGGCATTCTGTGTGGTTGCCAGGACACTGCTATGCAGTTGCTATGTTGTTCTGAGGGGTTTCAACATGTTTTTTTTTTTTTTTTTTTTTTGGTGGTTATTTGTTGGTACAAGTCAATAGACAACATCAACAAGCCTCTACGATATTCTCCGCTCTAAACTGGTGTTCAAGTACTTAGAAAAGTAACAGCAAACCTCTCATTATTAACACACAAGTATCTTTCATAGCTGAAGTGCAGGCAGATCTTGATAAACAAGCCAGTTCATTTAATTCCTATAGGAATTTAAACTTTGAATGCAATTAAGAATACAAAAGTAATGAATACATTGTGTTTCCTTCTTGAGCATCAAGAGTGTTTGAATCTTTTTTAATAGTTGAGTTTGAGTCTCTCAAGTGTGAAAAGGTGATCACAAAATCAATGTCACAGTTGGAAAGAGTTTAAATATGCAAAAGATGATAAAAAAAAAATGAAGAATCTGCTGGATTATTCTAAAGTGTAACTCAGTGGCGTAGCGCAAAATGCGGAGGCCCCCCAGCAGGGATCGCTGACGGGGCCCCCTGATGAAGTTTGGGGGGGGGATGGATCCGTCATACGTCAATTTGCATATCACTGACGTCATCACGTTCTACCGTTTCTGTTTGTTTAACAGCCTATGGTTAATAAAGGGGTATTTATAATTGCACTACACTTTATAAAAGCATGTTTATTTAACTAAATGTATTGCTGTTTGAATACAGTATGTCATTATAGATGTGTAGTGAATGTGCAGTAATCTCTCATATGTAATAAACTCAGACAAGTTCAGAAACTGTCACTAAAATATCTGTGATTGTAAACAAAAAAAGAATAAACGGTCCAATTAAATTGTTAAAATAAAGGAGAAGTAGATCGGTTTGACTATACAAGGGAAATACCTTCACACTGCCTGTGCTAAATCATTTGTCGTCGGTACGCAGAGGGGTGATCTGCTCTCGGGCTGCAGGTGGGAGAGGCTGCTGTTGAGGACTGACTGGGCCGCCTGTCAGTGCTGTGAGGCGGGGGAGGGGTCGGCGGCATCACACGCAGCTTGTTGAGAAGAGTAGGGACGGTACAGTATGGACAAATGACAGTCTACAAAAAAAAATCTCCAATAACACACAAAAAAGTCGCTAGATTTGTCACTAGGGGGGTCTGAAAAATCGCTAAATCTAATGACAAAGTCGCTAAGTTGGCAACATTGGCGGCAAGCAATCAGAATGAAGTAGTCCACCGCTTGAGAGGTGTTCAGAGAACACAGACCTGTGAACTTTGGTTCCGACCACAGTTTTTCCCAAGAGTTTGATTATTGCGGTTGCCGGATTATCAATTATTGAAAATCGCGACGACGCGGGGCCCCCTAATCACGCCGGGCCCCCCCGCGGTGCGTGCCTTGCGGGCCCGTCTGCTACGCCACTGGTGTAACTGTTAAGAACTAATTTTCATGCACAACCATCTCTAGTGTTCATAGAGAAAAGTCAGAAAAAAGTAAAATATCAAGTGAGCGGCAGTTTTGTAATGTTCTGATAACGTGCCATGTCGTAAAGCACAAATCATCTTAGGCTGGTTTCTTGAACATGACTTTGTACTCAAATGGCCTACACAGTCACCAGTTCTCAATCCAATAGAGCACCTTTGGGAAGTGGTGGAACGGGAGATTCACATCATGGATGTACAGCCAACAAATCTGCAGCAACTGCGTGATGCTATCATCATCGTATATTATGTCATTATAAACCAAAATCTCTGAGGCATACTTCCAGTACCTTGTTGAGTCTATGCCACAAAGGATTAAGGCAGTTCTGAAGGCTAAAGGAGTGCAAAGCGGTACTAGTAAGGAGTACCTAATAAAGTGGCCGGTGAGTGTGTGTTGCGCAGAAATCATAATACAGTGAAACCGTGCTATTTTTATCCAAGGTTATCAAACTGTCAGAATCTTAAACCACTTTCACAGAAATAATAATACAGATGGTTCACCTAAAAAACACCATTAATAGAGTGTGAAACCATGCGTCTGCATTCACGCACTTGTGCAGTTGTATGCTTCTGGACTTAAAATGACTATACTCTAAACACTGATCTTTCATTGGGAGTTTCTGAGAGTTCAGGAGACTTACATTTGCAGTGGTTTGCTGTTAGCGTGGATTACTGCTCTTCTTGTTGTGGTGTTGCAGCCCTGAAGCAGGTTGTTGCGTGATTGAGGCTCCGGCTTCATGATGGCTTGAGGATGATTGTGATGGAGCAACACTGTGAAAACTGCACCTGAAGGAGAAAAGAAAAAAGAAATGACACTTTAGTAATTCTCTCTCTTTATCTCGTTTCTTAGACTCACTACAGTGATGGAGAGTACATTATTAGACAAGGTGCCAGAGGGGACACGTTCTTTATCATTAGCAAAGGAAAGGTAAGATCTTTTCAGCCACAGACACTGAATGACACAGAGGTTACACAAGCAAGACGCTTTTAAAGGAATAATCCACTGCGCAATTAAAACCCTGTCAAAAGTCTATAAGATGTCTTTTTTTTCTAACTACCATAGTAATTTTGACTGTTGATAACTTTACAACTTAATGTCAACTAGCAGTTATAAGTAAAATCATAATAAACTGTTAAAGTCTGTGTGAAATCTACATTTGAAATATTTATTTTGTTGGCTCATGTTATTCCTAAAGTGAATCAATACTCTGTGCAAGGTAATCCACTGAAAAAAAGTTTGTTTTGATAATCTTCAAAGTCTGGCCATTTGCTTCTGTTTTTGCCAATTTGAGGGTTTCCATAGCAACAGTATATCAATAGCATTAACCACGCCCCTATTACCGTTAGTTTGCTATAAGAGAATGATGCTCAAAAGAAAGCCCCACCCCCTACTCAGTAGTCGGTTTCAGTTAAAGGTGCATCAACATGCTGAAATTAAAGTCTCAACAACTTCCAGTTCATGCAGACTTTTTTTTTTGCTAGAAGTTGTACAGCTGGGGCCAGAATTCAGCAAGAATTATTTATATTATTTATTAAATTATCCATTTATTGTATTTTATTAACATCTACCCCAACCCTAAATCCAACCATCACAGTATTGTGAAAAAAAACAGTAATTATACAGAGTATTATTGATATTATTTATTAAATTACCCATCAAATTGTATTTTACTAACATCTATCTCAACTCGATGATATATTGATGTGTGTATCCACAGTGTATGCCATCTAGACTTTACCTATTTTAAAGCCCCAATACACTTCAAAGAAAGTTGTAAACATGTCATGTAGCTCACGTACACCCCGAAACAAACACAACGACGACTGCGGTTGATGATAAGAACGTTTTGGTAAGAAAGAGTTCCAGAACAGACCGATTGCTTAATTGCCACAGACCAATAATAGCTCAAAGGTGTTTAGGAGCCAAAACAAGCTCCCCCAAAATGTTCCCTTTGGTGTGCTGTTTCAAACTGCCAAAAAGCACTTAAACTTTAATATGGATGGATTAAAAAAAGAAAATAAAAAATCATTTCAGTTCATTCTTTAACTTGTTTGAAGTATATTAGGGCCTTTAGGTTGAACTTTAGGGTTTATGGTTAGTAGAAGAAGTCAGTTATATATTATCAATTGAATAGTTACTTCTAGACAATAGAATGTCTATCTGGCTATCAAAATAAAGTTTAAATAGAAATTAGGCAGACGGTTTACTAATACTCTAAATAACATGTAGTTGCAAAGTGGCTTGTTGGCAAGAGATTCTCTAAAATGAAGCATGGAAATTTGTTTATTACCCAATAGTTCATAGTGACCAAACCTTTCAAGCTCAAAAATGGACAGAATTCCAATTCCAAACTAACTTTTCTAGTCATCTCAACTTTAAGTTAAACTTTGTATAACTTAAACAATTTGGTGAAACCTCGTTTACGTATCGTACTAAGTTAGAGAAACATAAAAATATTTGTTGTCTTCACTTTTTGTCATATTGTACATTTTTTTGTGTTTAGTCCAAACCTTTAGAACTTATTCAATAAATGTGTAAAAAAACTGAGGTAAATTCACTGAGCAATTTTCACCTCCAATTTGAAATTGACTTGGATTTTGTATAAGCTGACAGTAATTGCAATTGCATGAGTAAACGTGAACTAATAATCTTCCTCTGCAAGCATGATTTATGTGAGAAGAAATAAAAGTTGTTGCCATTTTTACTGTCAAGAGAGATTCAGCCCTAGCACATTTATTAAATGCCACATTTCTTCAAACTAATGAGTTTAACATTTTGTCAACATGTTTTACTTATATAATAACTTATAGAATTAATTGAGTTATATAATATAATTAAATCACACTGAACAGAGCTAAACTGAACTGAACTGAACTTAAACACTAAAACCTGAACCACACTGTTCCAGTTACTATGACCATTTATGTGAAGCTGCTTTGACACAATCTACATTGTAAAAGCGCTATACAAATAAAGCTGAATTGAATTGAATTGAATTGAATTGAATTAATAAAGATATAATCAGCTTTTGCAGCCTATGATCACTAATTGTGGTTTCAGTATGTATGTGTTCTGTGTATATGTATAATGACGAAGCATGACTTAACATATTTTTTACTTTTTAACTAAGTTAAAGCTAACAAATTTGTAAAGTAGTTAGTTAGTTCATTTATATAACACGTTTTTTTTACAACACAACATTTCCCAAAGTGCTGAACACAATCAATACTAAACAAAGTAAAACCTACATCACATACGTAACAATTAAAACATAAGGCAGACCCCTCAACATTAAAAAAGGCTCAAATGCTACAGAACAAAGATGGGAGTTTCAAAAGTAGCAACTAAGTTTTAACTAATTTAAGTCATTAAATACTTTACATACATTTAATAATCTATGTATGTTCAATGCATTTTGCTTATTTTTAATTTCATTAAATACTTTATATACATTTCATAATCTATGTATGTTCAATACATTTTGCTCATTTAATTTGATATTGACACCAAAATATGATGTCTCATCATTGACTTTGTATTTGAGAGCATTAGTGAATAATAACTATTGTACATAAATTTCAGTCACAGAGAGCTATTCGCTATATAAATAACAAAGACACTTTTAATGATGTTCTTCTGGTGTTTTATTGTCTTTTTGAAGCTTGATAGATGTAGCCACTGTGAAATATTGAAAGGACTTTTTTTATTATTCAGAATCCTCCTTTTAAAATAGTTATCTCAATCCACCTTTCATCCAAATACACACTCCTTGCTATTGCTCTTTCATTAAGTATCATTAGCGTGATAAATGCCTACTTGCAACAAATGTGATTGGTTTATATAATTGATATTTTAGGAACAAATCAGAGCCCTCGAGCATTTAACGATCAATTATCTGTAATTGCAGGTGAATGTGACTCGAGAAGATGCACCCAATGGGACTCCTGTCTATCTGCGTGCATTAGGAAAAGGAGACTGGTTTGGAGAAAAAGCTCTTCAAGGGTAAGAACTTATACTTATACAGAGCTGCAATCGCATCTGGCTGCTGTCCATGTTTACGAAAGCGCCGTTGACATCAATTATGCGCTCAATGGATGGTTTGCTGCAGGGACATGCCTAATGGGCTGTTAACGGAGCAAAATCAAAAGCACATCCAAACAAAGCATCTGTTTTTAGTTGTGTTCAATACTTTCAGAAGGCATTTGTAGCCGGCATCAATCAAAATCCATATTATTTGCTTTTTAATGCATGAGTTCTAGCAAATGCTAAATCATAATCTTTTTAATCGGTCTCTGAAGCAACTTTTCTTGTCCTGCTGAAATCACTGATTTCTCTTTTGAATCATGATAGATTTGTGCATTAAATATTAATATTGACTATAGTCTTTCATGCTTTAATGGATGCTTCATTTCTTGTTGGCCATTTGGGATATATTTAAAATAAGCATTTTTTTTTTTTATTTCATTTAGTTATTTACTTATATTTTTATAAAATATTTATTTATTTATTTATTTATTTATTACATTTCATTTATTTATTAATTTTATTTTTTATTTATTTATTTGTTACATTTTATTTATTTATTACATTTTATTTATTTTTATTTATTTATTTATTATTTAATTTTATTTATTTATTATTAAATTGTATTCATTTATTTATTTTATTTATCAATTAAATTTTGTTTAATTTTTATTTACTTAAAATAATTAATTAATTATTATTATTATTTTTATTTTATTTTACCATGTTTAGAACTACACTTGTATAACTTTTATTTTACCCTATAATTCTTTTTTTCTTCACTTTTTTTAATGAATAAATGAATTAAAAAATTAAAACCCTTATTCATGACTGAACACCAATATTAAAACATACAAAATTTGAAGATCAGCAAATTAGAATGATTTCTGAAGAGACTCTAAAGTCTTCCCTACTCTTATATCTGAAATGAGCTGCAACTGGCATTTAATTTAGGCTTTTAACCTCATTTGAAATCAGATTATATGAAAATGCCTGTCATTTTTTGAGGCCTTATTTGTGGACTAAGAGAGTAGAGCTAATTTAAACGAAAAATTGACAGCTCGTGTCACAAAAGTCAGACGCACATCAAATCCTCCTCATCTCCCAGAGCTAAACACTTATGGACATTATCATTTGCTCATATTTCCATATTCCTGTACTGTTCTCCTATTGCTGACTCAGTTGATGATTTTAGCTTGAAAGTTATTCAAAGAGATGCTTTTCAGATGTAATGTTCACAGCTTTTACAAGGACTTAACACATGCAGTGGTGACCCCTAGTGGAGATGAGCATTTGTGCATTGATAATGGTGATTGACTGTGACAAACAACAGTCCATTTTATTGTTATTGCTGGACAATTACTCTAATAAATAATGGTAAAAAGGTTGATGTTGCACAGCTGTGTTTGCAATATTGAGCTTGTCATCGACCCTGAAAAAGGGGCAAGCTGCTAATGGACTGAAATAAAGAGCCATTTACACACAAAACATAAGGGTCATGCTTGTAAAATGGCCAGGATTTATTTGAATGATAAAGCAGCAGGATATGTTTGTGCCAAATGATTTATTGGATGGGAGTTTGTGATAAAAACTTTAATAAAGAAGGATTTGCCTTTAAATTTAAATCCTGGCATTTAAAATAATGCTTGGCTTTTTTTGTGGTGTAAAGCACAAAAGAGTGAAATGAAATATTGTTTCTGAGCCACATGATTCGATTATAAGCTGAAAGAGAGAGCTGAGAAACTAATCTCGTCTTCTTGTTGTGTGGTTTTGTGATTGGTTTCTAAATACCTCTTGAATTGCAATGGTTTCAGCGTGTAGTTTGTAAGTCTCAGGGGAAATAAAAAACATTATAGCCTGCACAAAACACATACATCCCTAGCTTCTGCTTAGTGATGTTTGGATGAATGTGTTTTAATTGTTAACATTTTTTCCAAGAAGTTGTGATCGGCAGTCATCCAAACAGTGTTGTTTTGACATTTTTATTTGACATTCTTCAGGAAACAAAACCACAAATGTTTTGGCTCGATTGAGGAAATTATTTACAACTCAAACTTAACAAACTTGGCAATTACTTTACATTTTTTCAGATTTATTTAAATATTTACTTCCCTAAATCCTTTTAATATGTTTGGATAAATATGGGAAAAGCACACTAACATGTGCTGATGCAACTATTAAGATGCTAATTATATATATATATATATATATATATATATATATATATATATATATATATGGACATAGCCAAAGAAAATAGCCTATTTATTTAATTTCAAAATATGTTATATTTATTTAGCCTACAGTATATTTAGGCTATTACTGTCATGATCACCAGGGAGATCTAACCACCAGATGTCGCTGGAAAACATTCACTCTCATAGAACTACATATCTGCTTGTAAATGGACATACATATTCAGTCATTTTGCCATTTGTTTAGGTTTTAACAGATTATTGATAACTAGGCTAATCCAAAAAGCATTTAACTGAGCTCTGTGCAAAGTTTTGTATGGCCAACAGTCAAAAATGTAATATTAGAGCCATGGCTGTGGCGAGTCGGCATTACTGTGTCTAAAATAAAAACTATTTCTCTTATCAGAAAGCAATAAACAAGCACAGCATTGTATTAGATTTTAGCAAATATAAACAAAACATGAGGAAACACCTCCACTTTCCACGGAAAAGTAGCCGCCCGCCGCATCGAGTTTGCCTTCAGAACTGGCCACTACTGAGAATGAATCTCGGCTGCGCCCTTATGGTAATGCATTTCCTGAGTCAGAGAATTTCCCTGAGTACTGCGGCTAACCGCGTTTAGTCATGGGATTCTGTTCTCTGAGACTTGCATTTCTAAAAGTCCCATCTGCAGTTAAGTAGCATCCAGTGTATAGTATATAGTATGGTATGTGGATGAAGCGTCAAGCGTGAGTGATTTACTCAATGCAAAGACGCAGACATCCTGTGGCATGATTTACGCAACTGAAACAGTGCGAATTAAGCATTTTACATGTTTGACGCACTTAACAAGCCCAAGCTCAAGTTAGAAAATCTGAACTTTAGTGTACATTCGTACTGTGGTAACCTTTCAGGAGCTTGCTGTAGTATGAGCGTGATTATGACGTGTATATAGCGCCTGTTGTTGCTGTCCCGAGGGGAAATCATGCTGCCAACATATGACAACAGCTCATCAAAATAAACTCAGCTCAGTTGGAAGCACCGCTGAAAGCTTCCATCATCCAGGTACAGTTTCTTATGATTCTCAGAGCTGGGTGCACCTCAAAAAGAATCTAGTGCATGGCGCCAAACGAATCTATGCTGTTTATTAGCCTTCCTAAAACACAATGCACAGCTACTCTCTCAATAAAATCCATGTTAGCCATTTAGCAATAAAACTAAAATCACCATGATAAAAGCCCCCCCCCCCCCCACCACTCCCCATGATGAGAACCTGCGTCTATTGTGAATGAGTTTGACGTGCGAATAAAGCAAGTAAACAAAAAAAGTTTTTCATGCGTCTTTTTTACACACGAATAGCACTATAAAAATGATCGTTACCTGATATAGTCATATTTTGACTACCTGATATAGTCATATTTTGACTAAGGCTTCATAATTTATGCTTAAACTATTGTTATTGCGATGATAGTATATGCAATATATATATCACATACTGTACATGTAATAAATTTTATTTATTTTATTCATTGGTTGTTTATCTAAATTTGACCAATCAGATGGGGACGTGCTATCTTTAACTCCGCCCCCCAGTAATTTCTGTACTTCCAATAAAGTGGCGCAAAGGTGAACCCAAAGGTAATATAAATGGCGGGGGTCAAGGCAAGACGGCAAAATGATCAGAGTCAGATTATCTGCTGAGGTTTTCACTTATTAATTGTGTATTACAATAGAAGTACTTAGAATACACAGAATTATCCTGAACCCTTTTGTGATTTGTAACTTTTTATAAAATCGCAATGTTAGTATGCAGGGCGACGCAGTGGTGCAGTAGGTAGTGCTGTCGCCTCACAGTAAGGTCGCTTCGAGCCTTGGCTGGGTCAGTTAGCATTTCTGTGTGGAGTTTGCATGTTCTCTCTGCGTTCGTGTGGGTTTCCTCCGGGTCCAAACACATGCGGTACAGGTAAATTGGGTAGGCTAAATTATCCATAGTGTATGGGTGTGAATGAGTGTGTATGGTTGTTTCCCAGAGATGGAGATGCAGCTGGAAGGGCATCCGCTGCGTTCAACATGTGCTATGTGCTGGATAAGTTGGCAGTTCATTCCGTTGTGACGACCCCGGATTAATAAAGAGATTAAGCCGAAAAGAAAATGAATGAATGTTAGAATGCAATATACCAACATTTAGGAAAAGTCTGGGTATAGTTACAAGATGTGTTGGGGAAAGTTGCTTTAAAAAGTAATGCATTACATAATTGAGTTATTCCCGCCTAAAATAACTATAACTTTAAATGGTACTAAAAACTTTTTATGGAAAGTAATGCGTTATGTTACCTTTCTGACTTGGCTGATGCTTGATCCTTTCTGCCTGTCCCTGCATTCTCAAATTACGTGTGGGATCAAATGTGACTACATTCATTTTAATTCAGCAATTTATTTTTTAAAAGCAAATTAATTAAACTAAAAAGTAACTAAATTATTATTACTTATTTTTTAAAAGTAATGCTTTACTTTACACGGTACTTACAAAATTAACATTAAGTAACTTGAGTTACTTGTAATGCGTCACTCCAAAACTGGTTATAAGGGTATTATTTTTACAAAGTTTTTCATTTATAAAATGTTTAATTGGTCTCTGTAGATATAGTGTTGAATTAATCAATGTATAACTTTTATTGGTAACATTTTACAATGAGGTTGTATTAGCTGATGTTAGTTAATGCATTTACTAACACGGAAAACCAATAAACCATACATTCATTATAGTATTTGTTCACGATAGTTAACCTTAGTTAATTAAAATAC